TTTTTGTTGTTGTTGCTGCAGTAGCAGCAGATGCAGATACGCCGGCGTATGCGTAATATAAGAATTATCGCAACAATTTGGCGATAAGTTTGCAATGGCAGAGCGTATGACAAATATATGCAAATAAATAATCATTTTAGCCATGAACAACAGCGGGTTGAATGGGCAACACGTTCAAAAGTCACAAAAAAAGAACAACAACAAAATTAAAGCGATAACAGCAGCAGCAGATGGGCAGAGTAGAAATGTTGAGGTAGCTAACAGTGCATGAGTGTGCGCATAACAGCAAACTGTTGGCTAACAGCACAGCAGCAGCACCAACAGATGGGTAGAGTAGAAATATTGAGGTAGCTGGCAGTGCATGTGTGTGTGTCTGTGCATTAACAGCAGACTGTTAGCTTACAGCACAGCAGCAGCAAAAAGCTCTAAAAGCTCATCAGCTTGAATGGCTTTGTGTGCGCGTGTATACGCGTGTGTGAGAGAGTGAAAGAAAGATAGTGAGCGAGAGAGGCATGTGCGAGCGCGTGAGAATGTTTGTATATTTGCCAATTGAATTCTACTGCGCGTTTAGTGCATTGAACCTATTGTTTATTCAATTTTGGGCAATACATTTGGGTTTGTTCGATATGCGACGCTAAACAGAAACTGCTGATAATTTTTTAAGATAGCGCTAGAGTGAGAAGAGAATAGGGGCGTGCGAGAACGGGGAAAGGAGTAGAAAGCTCAAGGCGAATTGCAGAAAGATGTTCAATGCCAATGCCAATGCCAATGCCAAACTGAGAGCCCAACCAACCCCGCGCCCCTAGCTGACAGGCGCACACACACATAGATAAACTCGCACACACACACACACACACACATACATAAACAGTGGGGCGGCATATGGATTTAACCTCGAAAATAACAAACTTTTGGCTTTCAAGTTCATTGCCGTGCTTTAACCTCTTTGAGTGCGTTGCCTCACTGTAGTTGCTGTTGTTGTTGTTGTTGTTGCTGCTCTCCTCTGATCATCGTCTTTTAAGTGCATGTGTTTGCATTTATGATTTTAATTATTATTTTCTTAATGGCGCATTGCTTAGCAGATATAAATATATACATATGTATGTGTGTGTGTGAGTGTGTGTCGGGGGTAGAACGCAACGCGTAATGCCTTGTTTATCCTTGGCCGGCATCAATTTGCAGCATCATTGCCGGGTTGTCGGCGACGCCACTCGAATTCAATATAAATCTTTTCCTACTCAGACTCAAGACAGATAGATGGATGCCTAATGTAGATAGATCTATGTATGTACATATATCTGGCCAGATAGATCGCCGGGGCGTACATGTGTGAAAGATCGCCAATTGTCGTTTTCGGCATAAGTGATTCATAGGACTTTGATTCTCGGAAATATGTGCTTTACAGTGATTAAATATAATATAAACGCGTAAACATTTCCCCCTCAAATATATGTTTAACGATAAATGTTGACTGATAAACAAATGTTATGAGAATCTTTTTTGTTTGAACTTGATTTATAGGGTTGATGCAAAATACGATGTATATATATACATATATAACGATTAGAATTAAGTTTTGAATGTAAATAGTAAATAAATAATAAAAAATAAATAAATAAGTAATACTTTATAATAATATGATGATGATGATCATGATGATTATAGCTCAATTATACAATATAAGAATTAGTACTCAAAGTAGTACTACCAAAAGTATATATAAATGAAACATTACTGTTAACTTAATATGCTAGGACATCAATAATTGGATTGCTCTTTGAACTCATAACAACTTCATAATATTAACAAGTAAGAAAGCTCTAGTCGAGACTGCTCGACTACGAGATCCCCTGAACCCTTGGAGTGCTAGCTATTTCAATAATTTTTCGCGTCTTTCAGCTTACACAAGAAACACACACACATACACAAACACATACACACACAAGCACCCACGCATAAACACGCATGGGCTGCAGTGTGCGCTTACTATGAGAACTTAATTGTTTAATAACTTTTTTTGTGGACGTACGATCTTCATGAAACTTTCAGATTATGATTATAACATGAATATGCATGTAATTGCCAAAGCACAAGTCTCTAGTATTTGAAATACGCGTTTTACAAAAGTGAGGGTGAGGGGGTGAATTTAGAGGTGGGGGGTAAATTTTAACAAAAACCGAAATTGTATAAATTGCATATAAGCATACATTNTCTAAATAAATAAACATAAAACAAAATAATTATTATTAATATAGCTTCTATACCAATAAACACTAATAAGCAAATTATAGTAAATAAAATAAACAATAAATGACATATAGTCCAGTCACGATAATTTGTACCCCACTAAATCGAGAATTGCAATATATCGAAAAAATTCTATCTATAATGAAATCAATTATATAATATAGTTAAGTTTCGATAATTTGTACCCGCTAAATCGAAAATTGCGATAAATTGAAAAAATGCTATCCCCCTGAAAAAGGTTCGTTTTAGATATCAAATTCTCGATAAGTTGAATTTCTGGGCAAATCGAAAATAAAAGAAATAATACTGATATGCTTGTCATTATGTCTTATAAATATATGTACATAAATCTTATATACGCATTCGATATATATAAATCATATAACGGCTTCCATTAGTTTCACATTCAACTTGAAACTAACTGTTCAATTAACACCCCCGTAATTACTATTTGCACAAATGTTTACGTGGCTTGTACCACTGTGTCCCGCTGTGCACGGCAATCAGCTGTTTTCTTTACAAGCGCGCAGCTGTTTGCATTGTTGTTGTTGTTGTTGTGCAAAACGTGCAACGCGATAACGTTGACTCTGTTTATGTGCTCTGACTGCGCAAAACAAAAACAAAGCAACGAAGAAGAAAACATCACATCAAAAAAATAAAGTAAATAATAATAAAAAAAAAAAAGAAAAAGACAAAACAAAAAACAGCAGAGACATAGCGTACAGCACGGAGACAAGAGCAAAGCAATAACAATAACAAAAGACTCACATGTCGTTGTCGCCGTTGTTGCTGTTGTTGTTGTTGTTGTTGTTGCTGTTGTATTTGCTGCTGGTACTGAGTTTGTAGTTAACGGTTGATCGTTGTTGTTGTTGCTGTTGCTGGTATTGAGAAATGCTGCTGGCATTGTTGTTGCTGCAATCGCTGAATTTGTTGTTGTTGTTGTCATCGTTGTTGTTCTTGTTGTTATTGTTGCTGCTGCTGTCATAAATATCGGCGTACGATATTTGGCCCACGGTGGACGCGCCTTTGAATTGTAATACATTTTGCCCACCTGCTTGCGATGGTAGTCATACCCGTAGCTATTGTCATTACTATTGTTGTTGTTGTTGTTGTTGTTGTTATCATAGTAAGAGTTGTTGTTGTAGCCGTACGCATTATAATTGCCTCTGTGCTGTTTGCGTCGCAGCTCCAGCTCCTGATCGGGCTTGCGTTTGTACGCAATGGAAGCTCCTAAAATACCGTTAAGGGAGACGCTGCCGCTGCCGTTGACGCTGGCGCTGGCGCTGGCGTTGACGCTCGCTGTTGACATTACGAGTTGCATTTTACGTGCGCCTTTTGCTCACTGTGCAGAATTGGCGATGTTGTTTCTCTTGCTTCCCTGCTTCTTCCCCTTCGTCTGCTGTTGCTGCTTGCTGCTCTTGCTCTTGCTCTGCCTCTGGCTCTGGCTGTTGCTCTTGTAGTATTAGTTGTAATCGCAGTAGCAGCATGGGCACGCGCATAGTTTTTCTTTTGTTGCTTTGGGCGGAAAATGCAAGTACCCGTATAGGCTGTCCGAATCACAATATCAGAATATCTCGCACAGCTAACTAAACGTATCTCTCGCAGTTGCGGCCCGTCGCGCGGCTGACGTCAAAATTTGGCGGCGCGCGAAATTCGTTTTACGCAGCACTTGAGAAATTGCTTCGATACACAATAAAACACAGAGAAGTGACACCAAAAAACAGAGAGGAAAAAAAAAATAAAGCACTGACACACTCACACAGGAAAACAGCAGAAAGTGTCTTACAGTCAAACTGTAATGAAAACTCGTTAGCTGGTTGTTTGGTCTGCTTTGATTATTTTCGCAAATGTTAGTATTTCGTATATTTTGTGGTATTATTTTTTTGTTTTGACCCTTTTCGTTTGACGTTTTGACGTTGATCACGTTGGATTGATTGAAGATTGGCGAATTTCGTATTTGAAAACTAGCGCAAGAAATTGCACGACCAGCTGCCTAACTTGTTGACCAGCAACAACAAAATAAACGTCTGCGGCCGCCGTGTATGATTGAAGCTCAGAATGGACGGGCAGCGACACCAGCAGCGCAGCGTCTCTCTCGTGCGTGCGTCTGTGTTTGTGTCTGTGTTTGTGTCCGTGTCGGTGTGTGAGCGAATGAACTTGCGCTGCCGCTGCCCACGGTCGCTGCATGTGTAATTGTAACAGCGACGCCGGCGTCGAGGTGGCTCTGACAAACAAAGAAAAAGACAAACGCTTGCGCTGTCGGCGACGTAGCCGCTGTAGCCGTGGACGCTGCCAGCGCCAGCCGCGCAGCTGACGCATGTCTCCAATTGCGCCTAAACCAATTCAAGTGTCGTCATTTGGTTTATGGTCATGGAGCGGGAGCGCAGCAGCAGCAGCGACGGTAGAGGCAGCAGCAGCGACAGCGGCAGCGTAGACAGTGGCCAAAAAGCTTGCAAGCTGCAGCAAGGAAAGCTTTCACAGCAACCGCACTGCACCGTGTGCCAAACTTTCTGTGTTGCGTGTGTTTTGGCTTTTGTTTGCTTTAATTCGGCGCGCTAAACAGCTGTAAATGGGTATGCATGTATGTATGTGTGTATGTTATGTGGAGGAAATGCTAATTTATGTTATTCGTTTTGTCTCTCTTCAGCGAACGCATTCGGGACTAGTCACTAGTGCGCTGTGGTCTTAGCATTGTTATTATGATTATATTATAACGGAACTTACCTAAATGCATGGGTGTATTATAATTTTGGTTTTTCTTTCTTCACAATTATTATTTATGTAATTTAATTTGCAGACTTACAAGGATGAGCACTCAAAGTCAACTGCTTACAGACGCCTGCCCGCGCACACCTTTATAGGCATGTGATGCAGGTAGGCCGATGGCCTGGCAAAGCGATTAAAAAGACATTGAGGCTAGCCAACAGGTAGTTAGCCTGTCGGCCTGGACATGCAGGCGCGTGTCGGTGTGCGCGCGACCCGTCGCAACGGCCGTGGCCCACGGTGCCAAAAGCTTTCTAATGGCAACGGCAACTTTGGTAAAGCTTTGATTTGAAACTTGGCTGCGAGAGCGTGTGAGAAAGAGAGCGATAGAGCGAGAGAGAGAGGAAGGAAGACAGAGCCGCGCGCAGCTCTGCTGCGCTGCGATAAGCGCAGTTGGCTTTTCTGCTTTGTGTTCACGATTCTAAACAAAGCCCAACGCATTTGCTGTAAGCGCTTTTTTATGATTTACTTTATATTTATTTTTATTATTCATTTATGTTCTTTTTTTGCTTTTAGCTTAAGTCATGTGTGCGCGATTGCCTTTGACGCGAGGCAGCTCCCGTCACGTACGATCTTAGGCAGACTTTGGCGTCTCTTTGCACACACACACACACACACACATGCAAATGTGCATATATGCATAAGCGCATCCAATGGATGCAAATGCTTGCATCCCACTGCCCAGAGACCCCCTCCCAGAGACCAATGCCAATGCCAATTGCGTTTTAATTTCAAGATTTGTGACAGCGTCAACTTTATCACGAGCAAGTCAAATGCATGCTCCAACGTTGAGTCACGCGCTGAGGCTCATTATAGATGTGTGTGTGTGTGTGTGTGTGTGTAAAGCTCCCCTTTTTAGCAAATTGGGGCACACGCAAATGAGCTGCAGATCTGGCTGACAATGGAGGAGAGAGGGGAGAGAGGGAGGCAGAGAGGTAGCCACAATCAGGTCTTACAAATTGTGTCAGTGTGTCATGTTTGACTCTTGTTTCATTTTGTTGTTGTTGTTGTTGTTTTATTTTTTCTCTGAGACGCGAGCTCTCGTCAAATGTGCAGGTAAATGCAAATAACACAAGGAAGTCAAGCAAATAAAGCGAAAAGCAAAAACAACAACAAATCGATTGACTAAGGGGGAAACCGAATTTCCGTTGGGAAATATTTCAAAATTGAGATACATACATATATACAAATCAATGTAAATAATGATAATAATAATGATCTTGTGCTTACCTAATTATGAATGTCTTTGAAGTCCGTCGATTTATGTAAAATTAAAATTGCCGTCGTGTCACGACAAATGAGTAAAACTCTCAACTCTATCACTAGAACTTTGAATGGGATCGATGAAAATATGCCCAGAAATTGCCTGAAAAACATCAAAATAGTTTGAGGTAAAAAATTATGATTGGATTTTATTGTATACTACAAAAATTTACAAAAAAAAAAAA